GTTCCCATTCTCCAAGTTCACTTGTTTTATTTGTAATTCCATCTATGTTAGTGTACATTGCCTTGAAGCTCACTTTCTTCTGATCATTTTCTTGTTCCCTTCTTAGTGAGCGTTTTGCTGGTGGAAGAAGCTGTTCTCTGGGTGTGAAGATCTGTGAGGTGGTTTGCAGGGTCTCAGAGGATTTTGGGGTGGGGATGGGGGTTCAAGGGAAGGGGGGACAGATAGGGTATGGGGTAAGGTGATTGGGGGGACATGAAGGATATGGGGTGAGGGGGAGGAGTGATAAGGAGGGTATGGGATGAAGGGGGAGGGGGGACAGGGGGGAAAGGCTGAAGGGGGGACATGGTGGGAATGGGGGAGGGGAGACAGGGTTGGAATGGGGTGGGGGAGAGGGAGGGTTGGGTGAGCATTTGAGAGGGGGGCAGGTAGGGTGAGAGGAAGGGAGGGTTTCTATGCAGAGGAGAGTGGTGGTGTTGCCCTCCCCTCTGGTGTTGCTGGGATGCTGGTTGTGGGTTCCCCTCTTGTCTCTGGGACTGTTGTGTTGGGGGCTGGGATTTCCTGGTTTACACTTCTCTCCCTGCGCTTCCTCCTTGCCTCTGCTGCCCTGTCCCTCTTTAGGAATAATTTTTTGTATTCCTCCACATACTGCAGATGACTCTTCCTTTCTCGAATATCCTCCTTCCTGGACTTGTTTGCAAACACCACCTTTACCAGTTGGTTTCTGTCCTTGTTGTACCAGCCCAACCTGAAAACCTTCTCATTGTTTTGTTCAGCCCCTTCCATCTGTAACCCCTTCAGTATCCCATGTACTGCCTCTCTGTCCTTGCTATTCCATTCCTGCCTATTGGATCCTTCCTGTTCTTTGTTGCCTACAACTACCGCTAATCTTTTTCCTTCCAGCAGCTGACTGGTGCACCTTGCTGCTTCCTGTGAGGTAGTTGCTTGCATGGCCACCTCCCTCACTGTGTCCATTGCTTCTGAGCTCTTTCTCAGTATTTTCGCAAATGTTTCAGGTACAGAGGCATTTCCTTCCAATGCAACATATCCACCTTCCTTTTGGATGATAATCTGATGCGCAGCCTCTTTATTTTTCTCTGTGAGGGATTTGATCTCCTCCCTTGTTGATGTCAGCTCGCTTTGCAGTTTGTTAATTGTAATCCTCATTTCATGCATCTCCCACCCGAATTCTTCCAAAACTTGGGCTAACATTTCCTTCGTTTGGTCACTTTGACTATTCCCTGTGTCCCATTTGCGTTTTCCTGCCATCTTGTCCCTTTCCCCTGATATGTTTTGATAGAGTTAGGCAAGAGGTGGAGAGAGTGAGAGAGGAGGGGGAGAGGAGGGGGCAGAGAGAGAGAGAGAGAGAGAGAGAGAGTGTGTGTGTGTGTGTGTGTGTGGGTGTGAGTGTAATTACCTAAGTGTAGTTACAGGATGAGAGCTACGCTCATGGTGTTCCGTCTTCCCAGCACTCTTTGTAATATAATGCTTTGAAACTACTGACGGTCTTGGCCTCCACCACCTTCTCACCTAACTTGTTCCAACCGTCTACCACTCTGTTTGCGAAAGTGAATTTTGTTATATTTCTTCGGCATCTGTGTTTAGCTAGTTTAAATCTATGACCTCTTGTTCTTAAAGTTCTAGGTCTCAGGAAATCTTCCCTATCGATTTTATCAATTCCTGTTACTATTTTGTATGTAGTGATCATATCACCTCTTTTTCTTCTGTCTTCTAGTTTTGGCATATTTAATGCCTCTAACCTCTCCTCGTAGCTCTTGCCCTTCAGTTCTGGGAGCCACTTAGTAGCATGTCTTTGCACCTTTTCCAGTTTGTTGATGTGCTTCTTAAGATATGGGCACCACACAACCGCTTCATATTCTAGCTTTGGCCTAACAAAAGTCGTGAACAATTTCTTTAGTATATCGCCATCCATGTATTTAAAACCAATTCTGAAGTTAGAAAGTGTCGCATAGTGTATTGGTGAGGTGTGTGTGTGTGTGTGTGTGTGTGTACTCACCTAGTTGTACTCACTTAGTTGTGCTTGCGGGGGTTGAGCTCTGGCTCTTTGGTCCCGCCTCTCACCCGTCAATCAACAGGTGTACAGGTTTCTGAGCCTATTGGGCTCTATCATATCTGCACTTGAAACTGTGTATGGAGTCAGCCTCCACCACATTGCTTCCTAATGCATTCCATTTGTCAACCACTCTGACACTAAATAAGTTCTTTCTAATATCTCTGTGGCTCACTTGGGCACTCAGTTTCCACCTGTGTCCCCTTGTGCGTGTGCCCCTTGTGTTAAATAGCCTGTCTTTATCAACCCTGTCGATTCCCTTGAGAATCTTGAATGTGGTGATCATGTCCCCCCCTAACTCTTCTGTCTTCCAACGAAGTGAGGTTTAATTCCCGTAGTCTCTCCTCGTAGCTCATACCTCTCAGCTCGGGTACTAGTCTGGTGGCAAACCTTTGAACCTTTTCCAGTTTAGTCTTATGCTTGACTAGATATGGACTCCATGCTGGAGCCGCATACTCCAGGATTGGTCTGACATATGTGGTATATAATGTTCTGAAAGATTCCTTACACAAGTTTCTAAAGGCCGTTCTTATGTTAGCCAACCTGGCATATGCTGCTGATGTTATCCTCTTGATATGAGCTTCAGGGGACAGGTCTGGCGTGATATCAACCCCCAGGTCTTTCTCTCTCTCTGACTCTTTAAGTACCTCATCTCCCAAATGATACCTTGTATCTGGTCTCCTGCTTCCTACCCCTATCTTCATTACATTACATTTGCTTGGGTTAAATGTGTGTGTGTGTGTGTGTGTGTGTACTCACCTATTTGTACTCACCTATTTGTGCTTGCGGGGGTTGAGCTTTGGCTCTTTGGTCCCGCCTCTCAACTGTCAATCAACTGGTGTACAGATTCCTGAGCCTACTGGGCTCTATCATATCTACATTTAAAACTGTGTATGGAGTCTGCCTCCACCACATCACTGCCTAATGCATTCCATCCGTTAACTACTCTGACACTGAAAAAGTTCCTTCTAACGTCTCTGTGGCTCATGTGGGTACTCATTTTCCACCTGTGTCCCCTTGTTCGCGTCCCACCAGTGTTGAATAGTTTATCCTTGTTTACCCGGTCGATTCCTCTGAGGATTTTGTAGGTTGTGATCATGTCTCAACTTACTCTTCTGTCTTCCAGTGTCGTAAGATGCATTTCCCGCAGCCATTATTCGTAACTCATGCCTCTTAGTTCTGGGACCAGTCTAGTGGCATACCTTTGGACTTTTTCCAGCTTCGTCTTGTGCTTGACAAGGTACGGGCTCCATGCTGGGGCCGCATACTCCAGGATGTGTGTGTGTGTGTGTGTGTGTGTGTGTGTGTGTGTGTGTGTGTGTGTGTGTGTGCGTATAATAATACATCTTCAGAAGGAATGATTTACAAGTCAAGTATTGGACATATATATAGGCAGGAGTGAGAGGTGAACTGAGGTGAAGTACAATGAAAAATGAATGGGAATTAGGTGGATATAAATATGAGCCGCATAAGAACTGCAGAAGACCTATTGGCCCATACGAGGCAGCTCCCATTTATACCCACTAATGGTTTATGGGCGCATAAATTAAGAGCTGCATCAATAGGCCCATACATGGATAATAATACCATAAGATAGTAAATATTTACACTGAATTAGTGAGACAAATGTGTATCAATGATCCTATTCAAATCACCTTTTAATTGATCTATCAAAAATGGATCTAAGTTATATAAACCACTGCTAATGTTCAAATTACATTCTTTTGTAAACTGTATTAAAGCAAATTCAATTATGTTCCAATTGAAAGGGATTTTACAATTTGTTATTGAAGAAGTCATCTCCCAATCAATTTGGTGATAATTTTCTGACAAATGAACAAACAAAGCATTAGTCAATTGGCCATGTCTTACAGAGTATTTATGTTGCTAAATTCTACATTTCAAATCTTTAGATGTTTGCCCAACATAGAACCTATTACAGTCTTTACAAGATATTTTATAAATGACACAATTATCACTACGAAGGCTGCTTCTAACTAATAGTTTTCCAAAAGTATTTTTGTGTTTACCTAAAAGTATATTTTCAAAAGTATATATATATATATATATATATATATATATATATATATATATATATATATATATATATATATATATATATATATATATATATATGTTGTACCTAGTAGCCAGAACGTCGTACTCGGCCTACTATGCAAGGACCGAATTGCCTAATAAGCCAAGTTTTCCTGAAGTTATATATTTTTCTTATTAAATGATAAAGCTATCCATTTCATTATGTATGAGTTCATTTATTTTATATTTGAGTTAAAAATAATGTAGATATATGACCGAACCTAACCAACCCTACCTAACCTATCCTAACCTATCTTAACATAACCTAAACTAACACGATTAAGTCAATAATTTATGTTCTTAATATAATATAATAATAATAATTCAAATAAGCTAATTGGAAACAATTTATTGAAAAAAAAGAAAATCTCTCGGCCTATTAGGCAAATCGGGCCTTGCATAGTAGGCCGAGAAGCGTGTTCTGGCTACTAGGTACGACATATATATATATATATATATATATATATATATATATATATATATATATATAATATGGCTAATATATAGATTACGGCTTCTATCCCTCTAACAAATATTCTTGCATCAGGGTTGAGCTGAAAGAGGAGTTCTCCAAAAGTCATGTTCGTTCTCATGGTGAAGAAAAAAGTGAATTACTATAAAAGTATTACACTTATCATACAATTGCAAAACGTTTCGAACCTACATGGTTTATTCTCAAGTGATATGAAATCACTTTTCTTACCACTTGAGAATGAGTCTCAGGAGACAGTCTCCCCACACAGTGTTGAGACTCACCAGACAGTCTCCCTACACAGTGTTGAGACTCACCTGACAGTCTTCCCACACAGTGTGTTGAGAGCCTCAGGAGACTCACCTCTCCCAGAGATCCTTGACCACCTTCACCAGGAGCCACACAAGGCTCAGCACGAGGATGGTGCCGAAGGACACGATGCTGAAGTCCCTCACGTCCCTGGTCATGGGCCGAGTGTTTCCTCGTGGGTCGGCCCCTGGGGGCGGTGTGGCGGGCGTGGGCGGCTCCGCGTGGGTCAGAGGGTGGGCGTGGCTCGCAGGAAAGACATTGGTCGTAGGGTGGGCGTGGGTCCTATGGTGGCCGTGGGTCGGAGGTTGATCGTGGGTCAGAGGGTGGGCGTGGGCCTGATGATGGGCGGGGGACGGAGGGTGGGCGTGTTTCAGAGGGTAGGTGTAGTTCCGATGATGGGCGGGGTACGGAGGGTGGGCGTGAGACGGAGGGTGGGCGTGGGTCGGATGGTGAGCGTGGGTTTGAGGTTTATCGTGGGTCAGAGGGTGGGCGTGGGACGAATGATGGGCGTGGGACGGATTGTGGGTGCGGGTCGGAGGGTGGGCGTGGGTGGGAGGGTGGGCGTGGGACGAATGATGGGCGTGGGATGGAGGGTTGGTGCGGGTCGGAGGGTGGGCCTGGGTTTGAGGTTTATCGTGGGTCGGAGGGTGGGCGTGGGACGAATGATGGGCGTGGGACGGAGGGTGGGTGTGGGACGAATGATGGGCGTGGGACGGAGGGTGGGTGTGGGACGAATGATGGGCGTGGGACGGAGGGTGGGTGCGGGTCGGAGGGTGGGTGCGGGTCGGAGGGTGGGCGTGGGTCAGAGGGTGGACGTGGGTGGGAGGGTGGGCGTGGGACGGAGGGTGGGCGTGGGGCAAGGGTGAGACACTCCAGTTATCCACCCGCTCATCCTGTAAATATAATCACAGTTAATAAACAAGAGAATAAGGAATACAAAGACAAAATACAGCTGCATATTTGACACACAGGGGGTACTTGAGTACCAGTTTTCACTCAACAAACACACAGGAGTACTAGTGTACCAGTTTTCACTCAACAAACACACAGGAGTACTAGAGTACCAGTTTTCACTCAACAAACACACAGGGGGTACTTGAGTACCAGTTTTCACTCAACAAACACACAGGAGTACTAGTGTACCAGTTTTCACTCAACAAACACACAGGGGGTACTTGAGTACCAGTTTTCACTCAACAAACACACAAGGGGGTACTTGAGTACCAGTACTCACTGAACGAACACACAGGGGTACTTGAGTACCAGTACTCACTCAACAAACACAAAAGGGCACTATAGTACCAGTACTCACTCAACAAACACACAAGGGGGTACTTGAGTACCAGTTTTCACTCAACAAACACAAAAGGGCACTAGAGTACCAGTACTCAACAAACACAGAAGGGCACTAGAGTACCAGTACTCACTCAACAAACACAAAGGGGTACTTGAGTGCCAGTACATACACTAAAATCACGTAAGGGTACTAGAGCACCAGTACTCACTGTTATGATCTCAAGCTGCAGGAGAGACGAGTTTACCCCCCTGAGAGTTATTCTGCCAGGCCTGACCTAACTAAGAGGTCAAAGAGATATATAAACCTGGAAATGTATATAGTGAACACTCGATTGAATTTGAATAGTAGTTTAAAAGTATGGGCAGTAAATAAGAATCTAAATAAATGACTTGACATGGGATGTGGAGAATTTGCTGGAGGTGTGAGACTCGCTTCAGAGGAGCTTGAGCTTACTTGAGCTGATGAAATCGTGAGGGTTCATCCTCAGCAGGAGCTAAAGTGCTCCCTTTAGCTCCTGCTGAGGATGAACCCCTGATTGTTATACCTTCAAGAAGAAGGAAGTGGACAGACGTCTCGCTTGTGGAATAAATTTGGGGACATATCAGCTCAAGTTGTGGACTGCAGAAAGAGTGTGGAGTAGTTTAAAGCAGTTCTGTGGGCAGCCGAAGGCGCTCTGAGTACCGACTGCCCAGTCAGTGAGCGCCGCAAGCGGACCAAATTCTATGGTAAACTCATTCTATCCAGTTGACAGTGATTGTCTGTTGTTGGTCGTGTGCCCAGCTACCGTAGCGAATGTTTATTGATATGTTAGGCATATTTTGTTAAAGCAGAAAGCCTAGATAAGAGAATAAAAACAAGATAGCCAGCTGAGGAACGAGCTGCGTGTCCTTCCTCGCCGACCTCCTGAGGGCAACTGACAGGGCCTGCCGCCGGCTGCCTCAAGAGGGAGGAGCACGGCCCAGCGGAGGATGGACCAGCCCAAACGTAGGGGAGTCCCCTCACAGCATGTGGGAGCAGAGAGATGTCGGATGAAAACATTTACTGTGCAGTTTATTTTTGTTATTTGTTTATAGGGAAACATTTTTATTGGTGTGTCAATGCGTTGCAGGTTTGTCTGTGGGAAGGAGTTGCTGAAAGAACTTTGAACCAGTAGAGGGAGTTAGTGGATGAAACTTCAATCCTGTTGGAGGAGCAGTGTACTCTGTCAGGAGAGGTGACAAGTCGCCAATATATGTCATTCTTAAAAAAGACGAATATCTGGCGAAAATGAACCTCATTCTCTCTGACCAAACTAAATTCCCAAGGGTAACGAAGGACACTACAGCCGAATTCAAAGCAAAGGTCAACAAATTGATCGAAACTGTCAACGCCAAGAAATCCGGACTCTACCTGCCAAAGATTATTGGGGAATATTAAACCTGGATACGCGTATAGAAATGTCAAGACACATAAGCCTGGAAACCCACTTCGGCCAATCATCAGCCAGATACCCACACCCACGTACAGATTGGCGAAGCGACTCAACGGCTTGCTGACTCCTTATGTCCCTTGTGCCTTCAGCCTGAAGTCTCCAAAGGAATCTGTTGACTTACTGCGTGGAACACGGGCCACAGGGATAAGAGCCTCGTTGGACGTAGAATCACTGTTTACCAACGTACCTGTGGATGAAACAATCGGGATGATAGCGGACAGTGTGTATCATGATCCGGCCCGTACTCCTCTTGACATACCAGAAAACTTTCTAAGGAAACTACTCCAAGCTTGTACTAAAGAGGCACCCTTCTTGAGCCCGGATGGGCACATGTATAAGCAAGTAGATGGGGTCGCCATGGGTTCTCCCCTAGGTGTCCTGTTTGTGAACTTATACATGGGTACCATCGAGCAAAAGGTATTAGTCGACATGAACTTGAAACCGGCCATATACTGCAGGTATGTTGACGACATTTTTACACAGGTACCTGATGTCAGACATCTGCAGGAGCTGAAGGAGGCATATGAGCAGAATTCTGTGTTGCGTTTCACTTATGAGATGGAGAAGGATGGGAAGCTGCCCTTTCTAGATGTAACAGTCATGGAAAGGAGCGGAGGTTTCCACACTGCAGTCTACACTAAGGAAACAAACATGGGAATGTACCTAAATGCTAACAGTGACCGCCCAGACAGGTACAAGAGGAGTGTTGTTAACGCTTATGTCGACCGTGCTCTCAGCCACAGCTCAGGATGGAAGCAAGTCGATGAAGAACTCTGTAGGATAAGGCAGGTCCTAGTCAACAACAGCTTCTCCAATGGTTTCGTTAAAGACATCATTAGAAGGAAGGTGAAATGCCATGCAACCTCTGAAGAGACAACTAACACAACACCTATACCCCCTATTAGACTATTTTACAGGAACTTCTTCTCCACAGCTCATAAAACAGAGGAAAGGACCTGAAATATATTGTTAATAGAAACGTTATCCCCACAGACAAAAATCAGAGGATACAACTGACGATTTACTATAAAAATAAAAAAACGGCCAGCCTACTCATGAGAAACTCTCCAAACACAAAGCAGAACGCTATAAAAGACACCAACGTCGTCTAGGCCTTCAAATGCCCACTTGGGGACTGGTAGCCTCAAAGAACTCAGAATATAGGCAAGACAACAACATCTCTTTCCAGGCGATTAACGATGCATAAGCAACAGGGCTCCATTAAGGAACATATAATCTTTTCCCACAACCAGACCATCACCAGAGAAATCTTAGCAAACAACACAGAAATCATCGATAGATACAGCGATAGCAGGCGGCTTGACGGCTTGACATCTGCGAGGCACAACACATCAAGAAGTCAACACCAGCAATCAACAGCCAATTAATGCACAACTATATTCTACCCACTTCAAAACTCCGCTCCAATATAGAAGCATCAAGATATATGAGCCAATAGGCCCTCTGCAGTTATTTCCATTCTTACCTTCAATACCCATTGTTTCGTGTTCTATCTTGTGTTGAAAGTTTTGTTCACCTCATCCAAAACTGTTGTAACATATCACCTCACCAAAAATGCGGGTATTAAATAAAAAATGAAAGCTGTTTAAATCATTGCATAGTAAGAACTCTGTTTAGTGTTTGCAGGTTATAGTTGTGTGTGTGTAAACTAAAAGTTTTTATATATATATATATATATATATATATATATATATATATATATATATATATATATAATATATATATATATATATATATATATATATATATATATATATATATGTCGTACCTAGTAGCCAGAACGCACTTCTCAGCCTACTATGCAAGGCCCGATTTGCCTAATAAGCCAAGTTTTCGTGAATTAATATATTTTCTCTAATTTTTTCTTATAAAATGATAAAGCTACCCATTTCATTATGTATGAGGTCAATTTTTCTTTATTGGAGTTAAAATTAACGTAGATATATGACCGAACCTAACCAACCCTACCTAACCTAACCTAACCTATCTTTATAGGTTAGGTTAGGTAGCCGAAAAAGCTAGGTTAGGTTAGGTTAGGTAGGTTAGGTAGTCGAAAAACAATTTAATTCATGAAAACTTGGCTTATTAGGCAAATCGGGCCTTGCATAAAAGGCAGAGAAGTGCGTTCTGGCTACTAGGTACGACATATATATATATATATATATATATATATATATATATATATATATATATATATATATATATATATATATATATATGTCGTACCTAATAGCCAGAACGCACTTCTCAGCCTACTATTCAAGGCCCGATTTGCCTAATAAGCCAAGTTTTCATGAATTAATGTTTTTTCGTCTACCTAACCTACCTAACCTAACCTAACCTAGCTTTTTTGGCTACCTAACCTAACCTTACCTATAAATATAGGTTAGGTTAGGTTAGGTAGGGTTGGTTAGGTTCGGTCATATATCTACGTTAATTTTAACTCCAATAAAAAAAAATTGACCTCATACATAGAGAAAAGGGTTGCTTTATCATTTCATAAGAAAAAAATTATAGTAAATATATTAATTCAGGAAAACTTGGCTTATTAGGCAAATCGGGCCTTGAATAGTAGGCTGAGAAGTGAGTTCTGGCTACTAGGTACGACATATATATATATATATATATATATATATATATGTCGTACCTAGTAGCCAGAACGCACTTCTCAGCCTACTATGCAAGGCCCGATTTGCCTAATAAGCCAAGTTTTCCTGAATTAATATATTTTCTCTATTTTTTTTCTTATGAAATGATAAAGCTACCCATTTCATTATGTATGAGGCAATTTTTTTTTTATTGGAGTTAAAATTAACGTAGATATGTGACCGAACCTAACCAACCCTACCTAACCTAACCTAACCTATCTTTATAGGTTAGGTTAGGTTAGGTAGCCGAAAAAGTTAGGTTAGGTTAGGTTAGGTAGGTTAGGTAGTCGAAAAACAATTAATTCATGAAAACTTGGCTTATTAGGCAAATCGGGCCTTGCATAGTAGGCTGAGAAGTGCGTTCTGGCTACTAGGTACGACATATATATATATATATATATATATATATATATATATATATATATATATATATATATATATATATATATATATAGA